TACGTCTAGCATAATGCTCTTCTATTTAAACTATAGCTAACCTAGAATTATATTCTATTAGAGGTCTAGTACTATATAAGCAATAAGATAGAATTGCTATCTATTAATATTATACTAAAGAAAAAGTAACTTAGAAAATAGTAGCAGTAGTATTGCTATAAGCTACTTAAGAGAGCTGCTAAGGCAGGATTTTAAGAGTATAAGCTTAGAGTCTCTGCTATAACTAGTTGCTAATAGCACTAAAGTATTTATAGCTAGAATCTAATAAAGCATCTATATACGTTAATTTATTTAATAGAAGAGGAAGTAAGATTAGAGCACTATCTAGATAATCTAATATATCTTATTAAGTACTTACTATATTTCTCTTTTTTGCTGCTAGCCTCTATACTAAGTATAAGGCAAAGGCTGCTAGTTTTTTAAGTTACTTATAGAACTATCTAAATTAGCTGCTAACGCTAAAACTACTAGAATCCTTACTATATTAGAGTAGTTCTAAGCAAAGTAACTATGCTCTCTATAGCATATATAATCTCTATTATTATACCTTATCTAAAAGAGCTTCTTAAGAATCTAGTTCTTAATTAATTTTAAGCCTATACTTTTACTCTACTAGGTCTAACTAGATACCTTAGATTCTCTACTTATACCTACTATAGCTACTATAACTATTTTAATATTATTATCTTTATTCTTTACTAAATAATATAAAGATATTTATATATTATAGTTCTAGTTCTCTAAAGCTGCTATCTTAAGGTTAATAGTAATAGATTAGTATTTATAGACTTCTATATTATAATTAGACTAAGATATACCTCTATGCAAAGCAACTTAGCATAAGGCTAGATTTAAGAAATACTAAAGCTTATTAAGTTTCTATTTACTATCTTAAAAGGCTCTACTGCACTAGATTAGAAGAGACTTAAAATATAAGAAGAAATTACTAAAAGGCTCTTTCTTGCTCTAATAGAAGCTATCTAGCATAGCCTATACCTATTCCTTGCTATAGATATTGCTATAGCAAAATGCAAAGTATTCTATAAATAAAACTAGATTCTAAGCGCTATTACTCTCTCTTAATTTATAGTAGAGAGCTACTTTCTTCTAAACTTTTGCTAAGAGATTAGCTTAAATAAACGCGTATTAGTTCTAATAATCTCTAATAAAGTCTAAGTTAATTATAAGCTTATGCGTAATAGTAATATACTAAGCGCTAAAGATAGCTTTATCTTTCTAAGAATAAGTCTCTTACTAAAAGCAGTTTATGCTAAATTAGCGCCTATTTAGTTATAGAGCAGATAGAGATATTCTCTACTTCTCTAATATTAGAAGTTGACTATAGTTAAAACTAGAGTTATTATAGAAGTAGAATAAGCAGTGCTTAGTATAGCTATTAAAGTAAGTAAAAGACCTAGAGAGTTATTAAAGCGTGCTATAAGGTTCTATAGCATAGTATTAATAGAGCTAAGTTAAGTTTTAAAGATATTTAAGTAGGCCTCTATCTAGATAAGATAAGCCTAAGAGTTATAATTAGAACTCTGCTTCTTAAGTTCTAAGTTAGATTAAGAGTCTATTTAGATACCTTTAAAGTTTAGTTACGTATTAGTATAAAGAAGAAATATAATTATTATAAGCTAGCCTATAAGAATAGAATTTATATAGTGCTAAATAAAGTTATATTTCTTATTAAGAAGGTCTCTATTTACTGCCTATATATATCCTTCTTGCTAACTAATTAGGCTTAAGGCGCTAACAGAAAGGTTTCTAAGTATAGGCGCAGCCTATATCTTAACACTTAGAATAGAGCTAAAATACTAGCTAGTACTAATTAGTATAGACTAGTAACTACTAATATAAGCTCTAGTAAACTAACTTTACTAGTTTACTATTACCCCGCATTCTAGATAGATAAGCCTAATTAATACTAGCTAAAACTAGATTTTAGGCTAAATACAGAGAACAACGAAATATAGGCAAATAGAGCAGAAAGGAGAAAAGAGAGATAACTAAGCTAATACTAAAGCTATTAATAAGCTTATTTAACTTCTAGAATAAGATAGTAATATATATTTTATATATATTACTATAATAATTCTTTATATTATACTCTAGTTAATCTTACTAATATAATATAGTAATAGCTTCTTCTGCTTATATTAAGTAACTCTTCTATATATAAGTTCTTATATTAAACATAAAATACTAATACTATAGAACTCTATAATCTAATATTCTATAGATATACTGCTAATAAGCTACTTTACTTAGCGCCTATAGTAGCAGGTGCTTGCAAATAGCTGTATTAAATATATTACTCTTAGAATTATTGAATATTTACTTAACGCTTATTAGCTCTTATAACTATTTAAGAAAGCGTCTTACTTATGCTTATATAGCTGCTATCTCTCTTTCTCATCTTCTT